AAATTGTAATAATATTTTTCCATCTCTATTTTCAATTATTCTCGATATACTTTTTTGTTCAAAATTTCTAGGTGGTTGCGTTATATCAATTTTCCATTGTTCTGGAGTAGTGATCTCATTCCAATATAATTGCTTAGGTGTGTTGGTAGCTGTTGGAGTATCTTTACTATGTATTGCTAAAATAGTAGTTTCTCCTTTATTATCTTGTAATAAACATCTTGGGTTAAACTCAGATGTTGATTGCTTAAAATAAATTCGATATAGCAATAAATAGCCATGTCTTTCATTTTGAAATTTAATTTCTGGTAGGTGGACATTTAGTACTAAAGTATTGAGTATTGTTGGATCATGTAAACTTACTTGATAATTAGGAGCGCAATTAAAATATATTGCTCCGTTGCATAAGTTTGATTGGACAGCTCCTAATAGGGAGTCCTCAAATTTTAAAAGAGTTTTGTCTCGTAATAGCATAAGAATAGGTGAATCTATACCTGTTCTAGGTAAGGGTTTAATGGCGATTTGTATAAGTCCAAAATGGATATAGTTAAATCCTTTTTGTTTGTATTTTTCTATGGCAAGTGATGATAATAACTTAATTTCTTCAAACTCGTTTTGTAATGGTAAGGTTTGCTAATGTTCTTTTATAGAATATGTTGTCTTAAAGTCAAAAGTTCCAATTTGATATATATTATCTGGATTAATATGGGGTAATTAGTCTTTTGATATTTCTTGATTGAAAGATGTTATTTTGGACATAATTTCTCTTGAATTAATAGTTCTATGAGATGCTGAAGTAGAGGCATGCTTTGATCTAAAAAGTTTTCGGAAAGAAGATGCCATGATTAAATCAAACTCATACTGAGAGAATACTTACTGTTTACGTCTTCACGGCTGCGGCTTACCAGCGGTCTTACGGCCTTCGTCAGGACTTGCTGCCTGGAACACCTTCAGATTCTGTGGTTCAGTAAAAAATAAAGATTCTCAAAAAAAGTTTAATTTAATTTACGAAAATCTCGTTTTGAAAAATCTTTTGGATCTTTTGGTCTGATACCATGTACTTTTCTCTTTATTTTTATATTATATTGAAATACAAAATGTTAAGTTTAATATAAAACTTTGGATGATGTATGGTTAAAAATTTTAAATTTTATTGATAAATAAAGAGTACAATGATTTTATAAAAACTTTGAAATTACAAAACTTAAAAGATTTTGAGAGCTTTTGTAGAGAGATGTTTTTAGAGAGAGAAGGTTGTAAAAATTACTCGTGTCCTGCTTCTGAACCCGAGAGTGGGTATTTATAGGAGAGCAGGCGAATNTTGAATTATTGCTTCNACGACTTTTGCGTGTTNACTTTATTTCGTGCTTNCTTCTAATTGGTGCCGACGTTGCCGACAGTCTGAAGTAGGTCTTGAGGTGGGTCCCGCCTGTCGGGTGTCATTGTCTTCTAGAAAGTGGGTCCCGCCTGTAATGTCTGTTTGAATATAGGTCTTCTAGAATATGTTGATATATTATTTTAGAGTACATCTTGTTCAGATATACTCTGTATTTTATTTTAACTTAACCGGCTTATCCGGTATTCATAATATAATAAGTTTTTTTAAAATAATATACAGAGTCTACCAGAATATACATTATTTTGACAAATGAAAATTTTACTACTATATAGAATATTATTGGCTTGCAAAACGACGAACCCCACAATGTCGAACTGCAAAATAAAGAAAACAGATCAGGCGTCAGTGCCGATCAATCCAAGAAAAACACAAGGGCAAAATAAATCCCGATCTCGGTGTTCCATCCGGCTCGGATTTCCCAGTCCAAATTCCCGGCCGAAGCCCGGTCGATCTTCATGAAGAAATAGCGAGTCTCCCAGTTGGCAGTTTTGTTGCCTTTGGAGCACTCGATGAGAGATTTCTTCATACTAAGATAGAAACGACCTCCTTCGCCATTTTTTGAGAGATCTTCATCAGATCCTCGAGGGCATCGCAGCAGAGTTTACGACCAAGCTCGGCCGCCATTACTACCAGCCCGACCAGATTACGGACGGACGCGATCGTCAGTTGAGACATCGCAATCTTCCTCCGAGCACAGTATTCGACCAAAAGCCTTGGAAGAGGGAACCAGAGCCCACCTTCGTAGATAAAGGACTCGTACAAACACATGTACCCCGGAGGAGGATTCCATGGTCGGTCGATGCTCTTTGGAGGAAGAAAGGAGACTTCCGACGAGATGTGGTGCCCTTTCCGAAGGTTATTAAGCGTGTCTGCAGTAGATTTCGTCACCTCATCATCATGACGCTCGAGAACAATATCAGAGGCGAGCCCAGGACCTGGGTGGCGACCAGAGTCACCAAGATCATCCAGCTCAAACTGGGAGGTCTGGTATCCAGTATCAGGCGAGCTAGGTCTGAGAGCTAAACTCTTGCCAGCGACATGTCTCGCCGGGGGAAGAACCACGCTCGGAGAAGAAAGTGAGCTCGGCACAGCGCGTGAGCTCGTCAAAGGAGGTCGATCCGAGCTTGAAGCAATCCTACCCCGGTTAGCGGTCAGATCTCGCCGGTTCTTCCGAATCAACGGCTCAGGGTCAGAAGAAGAAGACTCGGAAGATTCGTCGCCCCGCGGAGGGGAGTATTCAAGGCTGGGAGAACTGCCGGAGTCAACCGAATTCAGACTCTTCACGGTCGTTCGAGTTAGAAGACATGATGAAGAGACAGAGACTCAGGAAACAGACTTGGGGAAGAAGAAGAACCGACCAGGGGAACTCAAAAATCTAGCCGGGAAGTCCGAAGCCGAGCAGAAAAATCTAAAGAGAAGTTAGAGAGAGGATTACCTTTATCCAGGGAGAGCGAGAAAGCAAATAGAAGAAACCGAAGTCCGGATCTCGCTTAAATAGACCCAGCTCATAAGACGAAAAGACACCTCTCGAGACTCCTCCACTGCTTTTTCTGGACTCTAACTAATCTAAGAGAGAATAAATTATGTTCATACATTCCGTCGGAATCGTACGCGCTTATCGTCGATCTCGGAACACTTATCACTCAGGCCCGACCTCAGAAAACGTATCAGTCAACCCCGACTTCAGGGTATTCGCTTACTACCAAGTTCCCGACTTCAGGAGCTCGTTACTCAGTCAGTTCGTTTATACAAGGTTCATCAGTCTACTAAGCTTCCGAGCTCAACATCCTTTACTTTTCTTGTTCCGTTATCCTACTTGTAATCCATTTCCGAGCATAATATCAATAAACGAGTATTTCCGAGCCCCTTTACTGTTTAATAAACATACTATCAAACCCGATGATCAACGACCAGTTCCGCTGGAAAAAACAGGGGCAGTTAATATGGACGCAGCGGTTAATTAACGGGATCTTCGTTGAATTCTTCACATACTTGCTTGCAAGTAATATATAATTCTCCGCATAACAATCGCTGCCGCAGCGTTTTGAAAAGAACATGCTAATCAAGATCTTGATTTATTGTAAGGGGAAATCTTTTCAAAATGATCAAACAAGATTCTGTGATTAAAATGTGTTTGTGTTCCTAGTTTGATCCCCATTCCTTTGGAGAGTTCACATCAAGAGAACAAGAGGAATTTACAAATTTAATTTTATTACGTTTGGGCTTTCTTGATTTTGGTTATTAATAACTAGCAATCTAAAGTGAAGATATGTTTCATCTATTATCAAGGTGATGTTAGCTTCTTCGGAGCCGCTCCAGAATTTGTGTTTCTCCAGTAAGATGTTGGACAAGTTCTGTCAGTAGAAACATGAAACAAAACAAACCCAGACTTATTAGAGGCTTGTTTTGTTTCCTTAACAAATTTATAAGAAAAAACCAAAGTGTTTTGTAATAATAGATAGTACCATTGGTATAGTGTCGGCAATCATGAACGCCGACTCTGAGATCAGTCTCCCATGAGTTATTAAACTCAATTGCCATTTCCATGGCATTGTTCCCTTTGGATGATCCAACCATCCAACATCTTTGTCTAGGAACCTTGTTCAACTTTCTTTGCATCACTACTCCTACAAACCAAAAACAAAACTTTATGTCAGAATCTTGACTACACTTACAAGATTCCTACCTTTTTCTTTTACTTTAAAATTTATCTACATGATCAAGATTCGTAGAAATCCGGAACATAAAACTGTCCGAATCACAGATTACATTCGATATGATTGTCTGGGAATCCGAACCTGGAATCAATTTCCCTGATAAAACTGAGACTGCTGCTTCTATGCGTTCTGGATTCACAGGCTGGAAATCAAACACGATTACCTGGAGAGATTCCACAAGCAGATTAGCCACTCAAAGTTTGAGGCATTTATACAAATATCTTGCGGTCAACAAAAGATCAATTCTTTATTTTAATATCTTCCTTGTTTTCTCTTAAAAAGAGGAATAGTACTGTAATGGAGAAACAAACCTCTGGACGAGCTGGAGAAGAAGGTTTGATGAGAACCATGAAATGCTGTAAATTCCAGAGATTAAGTGAGTAAGCCATCGACATAATAAGCTGCGGTGGACCAGAGGCCGCTTTAAGCGGCACAGCTGCCACGTAGACGGCGTCTCCGCCACCACTCGTGACGTTTGCTGACGGTATCAAGAACTGAGACGCCATTGTCTTCCTCTGTTTTCCATCCAACTAAAGAGTGGACCAAATGAATCTAATCCATATAGTATAATTTTTTCCTAATGATGGATCCCAATATATGACGTCATAATTTAGTGGGCTAAGAAGAAAGATTGTGCAAAAATCAACCTCTGACCGTGTAATGGTATCATTTAAGCTTGCAAATGAAGCAAAATCAACTAAAGAAAAAAGCAAAATGAAGGAACAATCTCAATTCACAACACTGATAGTGACGACAATAATAATGGTAAAATGTATAAAATAAAAAATGGGTTTCAAAAATCAAAAGGCAATTTTGGAATATCATGTAATACAATCTTTGGCATTGTAACGTAGAACAGACTCAACCTGCAAAACCAGATCCTCCTCTCACAATAACAATGCCACCAAACCGGAAACCGCCATGGCGATTGGAGCGAGAGCCAGCATCTGTGCGGAGTTCTTGTGAGAGGACTTTGGGGAAGAAGCATTGGCTCCTTCAGAATCAGCGGAAGGCGAATCGGAAGGAGAGCTAACCACAGGAGCAGGAGCTGGAGCAGGCATTGGAGGGACATCAGTACCAAAGATTGCTTCGGGTAAAAGCACACGGTTCACTTGGTAAACAGCCACAGGCTCAGTGGAGAAGACGCTGCTGCTGACTTTAGTCCTGGTCCATAGAGAGTCGATTCGAACTGTGCCCGAAACATCAGTGAATTTCAAGGAGTATTGGCCTCCAGCGAAAGTGCTCACCGGACCGGATTGGCTGAGGTTCTTGAATTCGGAAAGGGAGTAGTAATGAGGAAGAGCATGGAAGAGAAGAAGCTGCTTGAGCTGGTCCTTTGTGAGATTAGACAAAGGAGGATTCTTCTGGGCCTTGAAAGCATCGTCTTTAGGGACAAAGATTGTGACACCTTCCTCGGTGTTGTTGGCTTGGTTTTGGAATGTCTCGATGACTCCAGATGAGAGAAGGTAGTCAAGGAATGTGTGGAACGGACCAGCAACGCTTAGGAGCTCCGTCAGATTCACGTGGTGTGGAGCCGGTGCCGGAGCTGGTGTCGGCGGCAGCATTGGAGCCGGAGGGCTTGCGGTTTTGGCGTATGTTGACGAAGAGCAGACGAGAAGCACCACGGCGATAAAGAATGAGAATTGCATCTTTGCCATTGACTGCTTCTTGACTCTCTCTAATATCACTGCGCTTCAAGAAACCAAATCAGGATTTACTTACATGTTGAACAAAGCAAGAACCCATGAAACCCAGCAAGTGATTGAACAAATTAAAGATCCCAGATCCGGATCTGTTTCAAGAACAATTGGTCTATACCACTAATTTTGAATTGACTTCTTTAAACAAGATCAAACAAGTAACAGTGAAGAAATAATTGAACAAACTAAACTAGTGTTAGTCAACCAGATCTTGAACATCACTAAAAAAAATGGAGAATTTGTCGGAAAGTTAAAACCAAACCGACAAAGCAACGAACATATAGACAGTGGAAGCTTGAAAGTTCACAAAGACAGAGAATGCAGAAACATTGAAAAGCTAATCGAGGAGAAACTAGATCTGGATCAGACAAAACAGAAACTTAATTAAGACAAGTGTAAAGAAGATTCATGAAGGAGTTCAATGGCATTGTTATTCGTCGGTGTATGCAAAGTGGAG